TTGCAGATAAAGTAGTAGAAGAGATTGTAGACAAGATGGATGAGACAGTAGATGGTGTAGTAAACAAGATTATAGAAGAGATAGGAGAAATGGTAAATAAAGAGGTGGACAAAAATGTAAATAAATTTGTAATAGATGAAATAATAAATGAAATAATAGTCAATGATATGGCAAATGAAATAGAAAGTAAAAAAGAAAATATGTTAACAGATATAAATATTTAATTTTATAATTTGACTTATACAAAATAATACTTAATAAATTTTATAAAATAGATATCTAAAGAAAGTAATTTATTGTTTAAATCATTAAAAGATAGAACATTTTATAATGATTTATCTGAAAATAATCCTGAAATCCATTTAATTAAAAACATCCTTTAGTTATTTATTTAAATAATATAAAATTTTTATTTCTTTTTGTTTTTTTAATATAAAAACAATATTTAGCAAACATTAGTACATAAAATCTATCAAAGTATTGCAAGAAAATCTTTTAAAAAATATTAAACCAACATGAAGTTACAACTTAACAAATGTAATAAAAAATTCTTAAACAAATATAATGTTGGAAATTTCATTCATATTAAGATTTCTGATATTGATAGAATGCATAATGATCGAAAAACATTTCCATATAAGATTCTTGAAGTGTTAAAGGATAATATATACAGAGTTGGATGCAAATCTGATATTATTAAAACTGCATATAATGCTACTGAATTGCTTTCTTTGGGCTCTAATAGATTTTCAGAATTGGAAGATATTCTTTTAACATTTATAAATGTTTGAGAAGCATCTATTATGCAATCATTATCACAAGAAGGCAGTATAAAATGCAATTGCAAAAAGTTTTGTGAAAAAAATCACTGTAAATGTAAAAGAATAAACATGCCTTGCAGCAGTAGTTGCCATTCTAGTAACTATAAATGTAAAAACTTATAAGCTTTAAAACAATAAATTTACAATACTTTTTTTTGCTGCTTTCTTTATACAATCTTAATACAATGAAATATATTTGGTATTGTCTTAGTTAATTTTTATTTTAAAACTACTTCAAATTCTAAAATAACTTATTTATTAAATTGATTTAGAATTTACTTAATTTTAGTTTAAGTTAAATTAGAATTCTTTA